GCATATTTGGGCAGTAGTGGCTTCAATTTTTGGACGGCCGGGGGATTTTTAAGGGAAAAATCCGCACGGCCGTCCCATTTCCGGATTTTATACAGAACCATCCCCAAAATTCACACGGCCGGGGGAATTTCCCCCCTTTTTCTTGCACGGCCGGGGGAAAAATTGCATTTAGGCCCCTGCAAAATTTTTTTTTTTTTTTTCCCTGAAACTTTTTTTTTTTTTTTTTTTTTTGGGGGTTTTTTTTTTTTTAAAATAAAATAAAAGCAAAACTAAAATTTAAAGTGACATAAAATAAATAATAAAAAAAAACGAAAGCTCGGGTTGCCTCCCGAGAAGCGCTAAGTTTACAGTCTTCAGCCAGACTTTGTCTGCTTCTTTGTTCAAGCTAACGTGACCGAAGTCACTTGGCGATTGCATCCCTCTCCCCAATAATGCTCGTTTGGTTCGTTAGGTGGCCACATCCACTTTGCACGTTCATCATTGTTATCATCCCAACTCTTTTGACTGTCTCTCGGCGGAGTTAAAATTGGGCTCGCACAATAAACTTGCTCCGTCCGACTATCTTTTCCGCCACCATCTCCTGCACTCAAAGATCCTTTCCCATGGTCTAAGATCAAAACGTCAAAATCGTCATGATTCGTAAAATCCACAAGATCAATAGCATAACAATCATTATCATCACATGGATTTTTATTAGCGCTAAAAACGTTAAATTTGATCGTTTGATCGTGCACTGTCATTGAAAGATCACCACTAGCACAATCAATTAGAGTTTTCGACGTGGCTAAAAACGGCCTTCCTAGAATAAGAGGTATCTCCCTATCTTCATCTATATCAAGTATAACGAAATCCACAGGGAAAATAAATTTATTCACTTTCACTAGCACGTTCTCTAGAATACCTTTTGGGTAAACTAGAGACCTATCGGCTAATTGAAGAGTTATAGCCGTTGGTTCAATCTCACCTAACCCAAGATTTTTGTAAATGGAATAAGGCATAAGATTAATGCTAGCACCTAAATCAATGAGTGACCGAAAATTTCTACCTCCAATAGTGCAAGGGATAGTGAACTTACCTGGATCGCCGAGTTTTTGTGGAAGTGGTCGTACAAGAATTTCACTGCATTGCTCCGTGAGTTGGATGATCTCATTCCCTTGCAATTTATTTCTCTTTGTCACGAGCTCCTTGAGGAATTTCACCCACTTTGGCATCTTTTGAATGGCTTCGATAAACGGAATATTGATGTGGATTTCCTTCAGCTTGTTCAAGAATCCTTGGTGCTCGGCATCGAGCTTCTTCTTTTGAAGCTTTTGAGGATATGGGACTTGAGGTACTCGTGAGATCACTGTGGGAGATGGCGGTTCCTTGCGAGTTGCTTCTTTTTCCTCAATCTCATTCGGCTCCTCGATTACCGTGTTTTGCTTCTCCTTTCGTGGGGCCTCCTCCAATTGTCTCCCGTTCCTTAAACTCACGGCGTTGCACTGCTCGACGTTGTTCTTCCGAGGATCTTCCGTGTTTGATGGCAGTGCTCCCGATGGCCTCGCTGTTAGTTGGGTTGCAAGTTGACCCATCTGTGTTTCTAAATTGCGGATGGAGGCTTGGGTGGTTGTCATAAACTGCGCCAAGATGTTTGCGAGATCTCCACCTTGAGGTTGGGCTTGAGGCGGATTTTGGAATCCGGGCGCTGGTCGTGAATAATTAGGCGGTTGACCTTGAGGTGGTGCTTGCCTTTGTCCTTGCTGATTTCCTCCCCACCCAAAGTTAGGGTGATCCTTCCATCCGGGATTATACGTGTTGGAGTACGGGTTCCTCTGTTGTCGGTTGGTGTCATGCACATAATTCAGAGACTCCGTTTCTTCTACGCGCTGGTCGGGAACTTGGACTGCATGGACTTGCTGAGTCTGCAAAGCAGCTACTTGCTTCGATAGCTTCTCCAATTGGGCCGTGATTGCAGTGACTCCGTCTAACTCCAAAATTCCTCCCGTCTTGACTGTTCCGCTATTCGACCGGTCCGATGCTCGCATGTATTTATTTCTGGCGATTCGTTCCAAGAGCTCGTATGCTTCGTCATAGGTCAAACTCATGAACATACCTCCAGCTGCAGAGTCGAGCACGGTTCTCGAGTTGTCTTGCAATCCATCGTAAAATATTTGCAATTGGCGCCACTCTTGAAGTCCATGATTCGGGCACCTCCTTACTAGCTGCTTGAACCGCTCCCACGTCTCGAATAGTGCTTCACCGGCTTCTTGTATGAAATTTTGAATTTCTCTCCGGATTCTCTCAGTTTTTGTTGGGGAGTTGTATGTGTTCATGAAAAGTTGCGCTAGCTGGGCCCAAGACGAGATGGAGTGCGGTGCGCGAGTTTGCAACCATTCTCGGGCTGCTCCTTGTAGGGAGTGCTTGAACAGGCGGAGTTGCAGTGCTTCGGGTGTTACTCCGTTCATCTTGTGCGAGTCACACGTTTCGAGAAAGTTGACCAAGTGAAGATGTGGATCTTCATGAGCCAATCCGCTGAAAAGACCATTGTTTTGGAGCATCGTGAGGAGCCCCGCTCGAATCTCGAAATTGTTGGCTTCAATGGGGGGCTGCTGGATGCTTGATTGGAACCCATTGAGTGTCGGAACGGTGTACTCGTGCAAGGCTCGTTGACGCGGTGGTGGATTAATTATCTGGCGTTGGTTTTGCTCGTTGACGATTTCTCTCGCCACATTAGGTGGTTGCCTTTGGTCACCTTCCCCACGATTATTCTCGTCTTCCATCGTTGCTGGAGTGTTTTGGGCTAACCGTTGATTTCTCCTGGCTTGCCTAAACGTTCGCTCAATTTCGGGATCAAGAGGTAGCAGGCTCGTGTCGTGTCCTCTTCGCATAAAAAGTACCTAAAACAAAATAAAAAAAATAATAAAAAAAAAAAAAAAAAAAATTGGCTGAAGTAAGAAAAATTGCTCAAATTTAATATTAGGATAAATAAATAATTTAGCCGTATTCCCCGGCAACGGCGCCAAAAACTTGTTGGGTGCTAAATACCAACACGCAAGTGTACGTATCGCAAACAAGTAGTAAAGTAGACTCGTGAGAGTCGGATGTCGATCCCACAGGGAATACGTAAATTATTTAATCCTAAGTACCAAATCCTAACAATTGTGATTTTTATCCAGCCTACGCAAGGTTGTCAAATTAATTAACTAATAAAATTAAAATAATTAAGAAAACAAGTAATCACGAGAAAAATCAATAATAAACGGATCTAGGATTTTATCTTCCCCCTATGCAATAATTCTCACCCAATTAATCTCCTATTATGCAAGTTACGATTCCCGATTATTAACCCAAGACACGAAATTATTCATAACCAGCTGTCGCTGCGCTATAAACCTATTATTCATAAAAGATTCACTATATGTCTATGCAAACCTAATATAAATAAAGCATTAAATAACAAGTCTCGCAAACGGCTACCTAAGGTATTATCTGTATGTCTACGATAATACATGCAATTAACACACGCATTCGGTGAAAAACTACTCGAAGGCTCTTCTATCTCTGTTCTAATTATTAAAACGATCTGTCAATCAATTCTAACAATAACAAATAGCAACATAAGTTAGCTACGCTCATGCACTAAATAAGATCAAGATAGAAGAAATAATCGAAGAATTAAACTTGCATAAAAGTCGAAAAAGAGGTTCGAATCACCACATAGGGTTCCAATAAAATCCTAGAATAAAAACTTAGCTACTCATGTTCGTAACGAAAAGCATAATAAAAATACGAAAATTCATAAAAATCAGAAAAGAAAAGGAAAAAGGAAAACTAGGATGAAGAGTCGTCAAGTCTTCGTCTTCGTTCTCTTGCTCCTCGATTGCGTGTAGAAGAGATGAAAAATAAAAACTAAAGAAAAAGATAAAAGATAAAAAGATTGATCTAATTGTGTGCTTGTGGCCTTTAAATAGGGTGCAAAAATATAATAGGGCGGGTTTCCTTGTGTAATTAAAATTCCTTCACTGCGCCCCTACGACCATCCGGACGGCCGTGTGAGATTTTGAACTAAAATCCGCACGGCCGTGCGGTCTTTAATTCTCCAGATTTCTGATTTTTTCACTTTTGGCCCACTTTTTCTCTGAATTTGCAGTTTTCACCCCAAAAGTTGCCAATTCTTCAATTTGCACCTAAAATACAAATAATAACCAAATTAAGCACCAATTATCGTAAAAACACATCAAAAGCTCCAATTAAAAGATAGAATTAAGTGTATAAATATACACTTAACATGTACAACAATAATATTTTAAAAGGGCAACGTACAACACAAGTACTCAATTTCAATGAATAACCCTAGGAACTTACGCAGCGTGCAATAAAAATAATATTTTAAGAGGGACACTCACTTCTTCGACTTTTAATAGGGAAAAATAGAAATTTGGAAATTATACAGGGGTGAAGTGTATTTTGTCCTCAATAAGATAAACAAGTATCAATAATTTTAAGTACCTATGGTTATTTGTGCGTCTTCAAAAATTTAATTTCCTCTTAAAAATGAATTGATATGGAACGTGATTAAAAATGCAGGGGACAAGATATTTAGATATTTTTTTTTTAAATGAAGGAATCCGCAGCCAACCATATTGGTGCACTGGGTAAACCTACACTCTTATATAATAGCTTGCAAACCATACGAGAGATGTAAACCACACTAGGCTAACCATGTTTGACAAGCTCGACCTAGCGACCGTTGGCAAGGGAATTCGAACATGGGTCAATTGACACATACTAAGTTTCTCCAACCGCTAGGTCATCCCTTGCGGGACCAGATATTTAGATATTTAGATAGTGGGTGACTAATAATTCAGTGTATTATCTTGTAATAATATCTTTAATCATTTTTTCGCATCGAGTTGCTGCAACTTGCATGACCAAATTGCTATCTATTTATAGGTAACAATCCGGGTTTCCTCATTTATCCAATCCATCCCTTTTCATAAAAAAACAAGCACATATCTCTTTCCTTATTTACTTTTTTTCAATATTTCCTTTTCTAGTTTGTTGAATATAATGAAGGTGGACGTTGTGAGCAGGAAGTTGGTGAAACCATGCACCCCAACTCCAACAAACCTCAAAAACTACCACATTTCATTCATGGACGAACTCAATCCAACGATGAACGTCGTCGGCATTCTCTACTACAAAGGCGCCACCGCCGAACATCTCCACCACCTGGAGCAATCCCTTTCAAAAATCTTGCCTCAGTTCTACCCGTTCTCCGGACGATACATGAAACACGACCACCTGGTTCTTTGCACCGACCAAGGCGCTCAACTCATCGAAGCAAACGTCGATATTGAACTGCTACAAGTCATCGAACCCAATTCCAGTATCAAACCCGAGCAACTCAACGATCTCCTCCCATGCGAAATCGGCGAGGCGGACGAAGAAACCGACCCCATTCTATCCGTGCAGATCAACAAATTCACATGCGGTGGGATAGCCATCGGCATATGCATTTCCCATAGAATCGTCGACGCGTGCTCTCTGGGAACATTCATCTCAGCATGGTCGAACGCTAGCCTTGCCAAAGTCGACGACACCAAAGAAATCATTTCCCCGACTTTCGACGGTCCCGTATTTTTCCCCGGAAAAAATTTCCCCAACCCGGAGTTCGGAACAACAAGATCAAGCGACAACGGTCTCTACAACATTGTCTGTAGGAGGCTTATGTTCGACAAGAACGCTATATCTTGTCTGAAAACGGGAGCCACCACCGCAAAAACAGGCGGCAGACTGATTTCCAGGGTTCAAGTGATTTCGGGGCTAATAATGAAAGCCATATCCATGATTGATTCTACGAGGGCTTTGTTCGTCGCACAAGCGGTTAACATGAGGGAAAGAACTATTCCCGTCATTCCTAAACACAGCTGCGGCAATTTGGCTGCTCTGGCAATCACTGAGTGCTCCGCCGAAGAATCGAGAAAAATGGGGTACGAGGACTTTGTTCGTTTACTTGGCGGTGATGCTAGAAAAACCGTGGGCGACTGCGCGCAGATTTTATCGGAGGGTGGTTATGGGGACAAGTTTCTGATCGACGGTTCTCATTACGCTTCAGAGAAATCACTGAGGAGTGATGTTAACGTTGTTTGGATGACTGATTGGAGTAAGTTTCGATTCTACGAAGCCGATTTGGGTTTCGGTAAGCCGGTGTGGGCGAGTGTGACTAATGTGGTGATCAAGAACCATGTTTTGCTGATGAGTAATAAAGAGGGCGATGGGATTGAAGCGTGGGTGAATTTGGAAGAGAACGATATGGGCAATTTCGACCGAGAAATTAACAACTTGTTTGTTAAATTATCATTGGAAATGCATGCAATTGGACCGGGTCCGGGTGCAGCAACATGGTCTTAATTTTACTTTATTGTATAATGTGTTTGTTTTAAGCTTAACGTTTAAGTTCAGTGTCTTGTTTTTTGGTTGTTGTATGACATGTCATGGGTTTGAATTTTGAAATAAAAGTGGCATATTCCTATGCCTTTCCCTTAATTAGTGTTACGTATAATTCATTAAGAGATTAAATATGAGCGGATCACCCGATATTTAATATAGATGGGATTTCACTAATTTTTTTGACATGAAGCACTCTTAAGTCGAGTGTTTTTTTTTTTCTTTTTCGAATTATTAGAATCTTAATTATATTTTTATTTAAACTATTCACGTGTCAATCATCCTATAGCATCTGATTTTCTTATTAAAATATGCCAATTTGCACCTACTGATTAAATTCATGCATAACGTGGGCGAAATATATTTGTACTGTGGTTGTCGATCAGCCTCCACTGAGAATTGGATATTTTTTGTAATTTTCAGTATAATAATTGTTTTCTAGTAAATTATGTGTGTGGATGATAAATTGGCCACAATTTAGTAATGTGATTCTTCCTATTCCATTTACAGTCCAAGTATTAAACTATTTGGATATAATTCTTTATGTTCTCTATCAAGTTTCAATATCGTTCCATCATTGTATTAAATCTTAGGGTAGATTACGCCTACATTTCAGAGATATGATAAAATAACTTTAAGGTTTATGTAGTATTAATAATTACAATCACTTTTGAAATATCGTTAGAAATTATAACACGATAATGCATTAGATACGTTATTCCGATAGAATTCTAATGGACTATTAGTTAAGGAAGTGGTGATAGAGTTAGGAGGTGACATGGCTCCCCCAATATTTCTTAATCACCCTAACTCCAGTGGCAGATCTAGACAACATTTTGGGGGGGGGGGGGGGGGATTTTTTTAGGAAAAAATATATCCAATGGTAAGTTATACTTTTGGGGATTTCAGGGGCAGCGTCCCCGAATTCTTTTTCGGGTTATTCACGAAATAGAGCTAAAATAAGTATATATTTATAATTTTAAGTAAAAATATATATTTTAGTAGTTGTATTTTATATTTTAATAACAAATACAGAAAGAATATCTAAAAACACATATTTGTATAATAATATGTCAAAAGGCAATAAAAAAAAGTTGGAACTTTTTTTCTGGGGGGCGGCTGCCCCCCCTGCCCCTTAGTAAATCTGCTACTGCCTAACTCTATATGTTGTCTTCACCACTTCCTGAAACTAATAGCCCGTTAGAAATCTATCGGAATACCGTATTCATTGCATTTTCCCATTAGAGTTTCGAACAATATTTCAGGGGGTGGTTGTAATTATCGATACCATAAGTACCTTAAAATTATTTTAGCATACATCAGGGGTGTAGGTGTAATTTACCCTAAATTTTATTTGTTTGAGTTTACATGGAGCATTATCCTAATTATTATGATTTTAAAATTTAATTTATAAATGGAATATTTTATCAAAAACTTTAATGTTATTTTGTTTTGACATATTTTTCTAATTTCAAATATTTTATTAGGATTTTTATATTGGGTTTTTTTGCATAAGTCCCCAACAAGCATCTTTATTATTCTAGGTTTAGGGGTTATATCTCTTTCATCAATAAGCCCATCCCTTTAATATTTATTATAAATAAAGGAAACATTCATGTATATGACAATATTACCCCCAACCATTTATACATAATTCTTAATTGTAACCCCAATTTAATCAATTTTGACCACAAAAATCCAATTTTGACTTTTGTTTTTCAAAAAAAAATTTTGCCGCCGGATTCTGGCGTTGACTTTTCGATTTTTATTTATTTTTTTCCTTCCGGATTTTTTCGCCGGTTTCCTGCGTTGACTTCTTTTTTTTTGGTCTGTTTTTTTCTACCACCGGATTCCGGCGTTGATTTTTTTTTAATGCCTTTTTAGTTTTTTTTTGTTTTTTTTTTGTTTTTACGTCTACCGCTAAATGTTGACCGTAATTGTGCTGTCACTGACTGTAAATTAACGTAATTATACTGTTAATGACAGTTAATTAACGTAATTGTACTGCCGTTGATAGTACATTTATGTAATTGTTCTGCCGTTGATAGTAAATTAACGTAATATTATTATTTTTTATTTTTTGTTATTATTTTTTTATTTTGTTTTATTTGTTGAGTCAACGTAATTATATTACTCTCGTGACAGTAAAATAACTGTAAACACAATAATATTACTGTCAACAACATCAATATTATTATCTTTTGGGTTTTTTGTTTTGTTTGAGTTATTCACGGAGTAACGTAATAATATTACTGTCTATTATTGTAATATTACTGTAAACACAATAATATTACTGTGGTTGACGGTAATATTACTGTTGCTATAATAATATTGTTGTCAATCGCATCAACATTATTATTTTGTTTGGATTTTTTTGTTTGTTTGAGTTATTCATGGAATAATGTAATAATATTACTGTCTATTATTGTAATATTACTGTGGTTGACGGTAATAGTACTGTTGTTATAGTAATATTACTGTCACTCACAGTAATATTAATTCTTTTGGCTTTCTATTATGTTTACATTTGTTAAACGGTCAACATAGTAATATTACTCTATTACACAATGATAATGAGTTTTTTTGTATTAATATTGTTGTGCTAGAGATTAATATAGCAATATTACTGTGTTAAACTGTAATTTAGTTAATTTTACTGTGTTTAACAGTAATATGTTAATATTACTGTCAATCACAGCAATATTGTTGTTTAAACGAAAAAAAAAATGTTACATAAAGGAAAAAAAAATCGAAAAAGTCAATGTCGGAGACCGGCGCGTTGACCGCCGGTCAACGCCGGAAACTAGTGGTTGAAAACAAAAAAAAAATTCAAAGCTGGAAGAAAAGAAAAAAAAAAGAAAAAATCGAAAAGTCAACGCCGATCGGCCGGTCAACGCCGGAATCCGGCGGCAAAAAATTTTTGAAAAATAAAGTTTTGGGTCAAAATTGAATAATTTGTAAAATTTGGGGTTAAATTGAGGCTAAATTAAATTAAGGATGAAATTGGAGCATATTAAAGTATATATGATGGGCTATTTTAGTCTTTTACAAAAATCTGGACCATGTGTGGAATTATTTGTAAATGAGTTTTTTGTCTGGATCTCTTTATGAATAAGTACTTATTGATGGGTTGATTTGTAATGACCCCTTTTTATATTGGAGAAATATGCTAGACACCCCCCTAATCCTGAACTTATACACATGGATATCAATTCTATTAGATGAATATAGGTTCAGAATGATCCATTTGATATACACCCCTCGTATGGAAAACATATAGGGATATGTCCACTCTTAAAATTCTTCCTTTGAGACACCCATGGAGAGGCAAAAGTACTATTGTGCCCTTATGTGCAATTTTCGCTCAACTGCATTTAGTATTTTTATACTGCATATATTATGATTTTTAATTTTAATAATTTGTTTATTCCTGTATAAATATTGTACTATTATTTTATTATTATTGTATTTTTTATATTTTTTTTAAAATTTCAATTCTTTTAATTTGTTTAATTTTTTAATTTTTTTTTTAACTTTTTTTAATTTTTATTTTTTTTAAAATTTTTATTTTTTTAATTTTTAATATTTTTAATTTTTTAATTCTTTAATTTTTTTATTAACTCAAATTTTGGTAAAATTACTATATTGAAAGTACTACACATGACTATAATGTACTACAAGTTCAATAGTCATGTACTATATGCAGTCATGTACTGTCTTTTTTTCCCAAAATTCATCTACACCAACAACAAAATTTCACAATTTGAATCTTGATATTATAAATCAATTAACAAACAAAAAATGAAAAAGCTCACATGCATATATTCTTCAAACATGAACAATCATTATTGTACATTAAAAAACCTATAGCATACATATAACTATATATATGTTACTACATGTGACTATAGTTATCTACAATTATCTATAGGTATATATAGTGGTATAAAGTCTAGACTACTGTAGCATGAATCCAACTTCACAAGGCACTCCACTGCATCTTATTCTCTGCATCTCATAAAATTATACAAAAAACAAAACATGCGACAAGAAAATATGAGTTACAGAGCAAAATGGAACATGCGAGTTAGATTACTTGAAAATTACAAAAAAACATGATTTTTTTTTTATAAATTTACTGTACTGAAATCGACTACAAATAACTATAGTATACTACAAGTACAAATAACTATAGTATACTACAAGTTCTACAGTCATGTATAGTTATATGTAGCCATGATTATACATGACTACATATGACTGTATATTCACCTGACCCAAATCACCCATCTAAGTAGCCACTACTGATTAAGTTTCTACAACAGACAAACAAAGCTCTCACACTTGAGGTATTTCGGATCATTTTCAAATAAATAAAAAAGAAGAAATTACATATGAATTATAACAAAAAATTAAGAAGATAAGAATCAAACAAAATAAAAAATCAAATTAATGCAAATAAAAAGATTTTAATATTAATTGTTCACAGATCTTGAAAAACATAGTAGATCTGGTATCGTTTTTTATAAGAAATAATAGATCTGGTTTGAGCCATCTCCAAACCAAAAAAAGAGAAGAAACTAAAACAATAACGTAGAAACCATTTCATCAAACGGAAGTTGAAAGAGATTTAAAACGAATTTAAAATAAACAAACCTTCATCCATCATGTTTTTGGCATCATCAAGTCCATTCCATTTGGACGGGTGATTCAAGACGACGATTGGTGTCGAGCACGCAAAAAGAGGCGGCGGCGCAAGGCTATGGGAGGAACAGTGGGCGGCGCAAGGCTATGGGAGGAGCAGTGGCGGCAGCGCAAGGCTGTGGGGGAGCAACGGTGGCGGCGCAAGCAGATGGGGGAGCAGCGGCGGCGGCGCAAGAAGATGGGGGGAGCAACGGCGACGGCGCACGGGGGTGGGGGGAAGCAGCGACGATGGGCGGCGCAAGGCGGTGGGAGAGCAGAGGTGGTCGCGGAGAGTTGTTGGCAGAGAGAGAGAGAGAGAGAGTACCGGCTGATAGTAGGTTCGTGAAAAAGAGAAAAGGTGGGTTATGGTTTGAATTGAAATTAAAAGGGTAAAATAGGTATTTCAAGTTACTCAGTGGGTCTCACAAATTAAGATTAGAATTTGAGTTTTTGACTAGGTTGGAAAAATTTATTAGA